AACGGAATATCGAATAATTAAATCGTCCATTTCCAGAGTAAGTGGAAAAAGGATTCTATGTAAGGGAGAAGGAGAAAGAAGGATGAGAACCGAGAAGAGAGGATTGGAGAGGGTTAGGTGTAGAGTGAGAGTAGTAAGAAGAGATGCGGAAGGGGATGGTGGGGGGAGCGATAAAACGATAGGATACGCGAACGAATGCTGTTTGGAAGAAGATAAGACTATATACCACGTGAATTTAAATCGTTATCTGCTTAACGAGTACCTCGACGAGTATTGTTAAGGGCTCGTAGTACTTTCGTGGCACCTACGCTCTCGTTTCTTCTTACTTTCTTATTTTCATCTTTTTCGTCCCTTTTGAAAATTTATCATCGTTTAACGCTTTTAGTATATTATTATCATTATCATTATTATTATTATTATTATTATTATTATTATTATTATTATTATTATTATTATTGTTGTTGTTGTTGTTGTTCTTGTTATTGTTGTAATTGCCTTAGTTTCGTTTAAAAATATCTTTACGTATTAATAAAAATAACTAATAAAAACGTTGTCTAATTGTTGCTTCGAAAAGGAAAGAAAAAAGAAGAAAGAAAAAAGATAAATATACGTAAACACATAACTCGCTTATCTTCGTTATTGCAATTATATAATATTAAAGTTCGTATTAGCGTTCGTATTAGCGTTACACATATTTAATGGTGATCAAACGCACATGCACACACACACACACGCACATGCATGCACGCAAATATATATATATATATATATATATATATATATATATATATATATAAAGATCTTTTTGTCATATTAAAAACAGTAATAATAATAATTTGTATGTGTGTATAATAATATGAACACAAATACAAATCACAAATTTTTTATACGTTTATAATACATATATATATATATATATATATATATATATATATATATATATATATAGGTATATATTTGCGTGTTTGCGTGTGCATCTGTGTGCGCTCATTGATAAGGATAAATTAAAAAGTTACAATCACAAACGCGTATAAGAAATCGCTAAAACTTAAATCGCCAATTACAAATCACAAAATTTAAATTTTGATCGAAAATCATAAATTTCTATTACGATAAAAAACATTCATCAAACACAAATCAAAATCACGAATTATCAAATTGCATCGGAGTCACGTATACAATCACAAATCAGGAACTTAAATCGCAATTACAAATCACGAACACAAATTACAAATTTAAATCACGATCACAAACATAAATCGGATTATCAATGTACATACCTATACGTATATGCAATTGCAATTCTACCGCATCACCAAATCATTATTATATGCGTGTCAGTTGAAAAAGGCCAGAAAAGGAAAAAGAACAAAAAAAAAAAAAAAAAAAGGAAAAAGGAAAATAAATAAATAAATAAAAATAAACAAAAGGAAAAAAGAAAAAAGAAAAAGAGAAAAAGGAAAGGTCCATAATAGGATGCAATAATGAATCCTTGGAAGTTTCCACTTCATAAAGCAACACACACGTCATCGTGAATGTGTGTAAGAGAGAGAGAGAGAGAGAGAGGGAGAGAGAGAGAGAGAGAGAGAGAGAGAGAGAGAGAAAGAATGACAGAGGAAAAGAGAGAACTGGATTTGTACTTCTTGTATCTTTCTCTCTCTCTCTCTCTCTCTTTCTTACTCTCACACTCTTCTTCTTCAACGAGTTATCTTCCTCTTTATCTCTATCGTCTTTGTCCGACAAGATGGTCACCTTATGCGGGCAAGCGCGAGACGAAACGTGGCCCGTTGCAAAGGGAGTAACGTGGAAAAAGATATCTCCGGAGCTACTGTAGAGAGAGAGATTCACCTTGCCAAACTTACGACTCCTTTTAGGTCAGTAAATTCCCGAATTCCTCTTCTTTTTCTTCTATACCTTTCTTCTTTACGTTCCTTCGTATTTTCTCTCTTTCTCTCTCTCTCTCTCTCTCTCTCTCTCTTTCCCTTTTTCTGTCTCTCTGTCTCTCTTTATTTCTTATTTCCGAAACATTTCTATTACGAATGATATAACATCGAACATATACGGTTCTTCTGAAAAGCGTATATTTACATATATAAATTATTATTATTATTAATATTATTATTATTATTATTATTATTATTTTTAATTAAAGGCAACAATATTAATGTTAACGAATGAATAAATCGGCTTTCGTATTTTTACTTCGAGATATAAAAACGATCTCATGTAACAACGTTGATTTTTTCGCGATAAAAGTGATTCCCGAGTAATGTCGATTAAATGAAATGAGAGGAAAAAAGAAAAAAAAAAAAAGAAAAAGAAAATGAAAGCAAAAGAAAAGATAAAAAGAAGAAGAAGAAGAAGAAGAAAAATTTTCCATTTTCAACATTACTTACGATAACATTATGACGTTATAATTTTATACCGTCGGATTTTCTGTAAATATCTCGTACGAGAGAATTGTAATCACTGTTAGCCAAATATCTTTATAGAAATCTTTCCTTGTAGTAGTTACATGGCTACTTTCGCTTATCCGGTTGTCTCATTACCGATCGTTATTTCTTCTTATCGGCTATATTCTATTGGTGATACTATAGTACTCGTCGTTTACACAAGTACGATACTCGGAGAATTCGCCCACGCAAACGTTTCTCTCCATGGAATTAAATTTACGATGATACCAACCTTTCGATATCTAACGTGGATCTTTTGAAAGAAAAAAAAAAAAAAAAAAAAGAAAAAAAGAAGGAAACAAAAAAGAAATATTGAAGAATTATTATTATATACGTTTTCGAATCGTCATACTTGATATGTAAAATAATTTTTTATTCATATTCATTCGTTCTAATTTTGTTGTAAAACGAAAAAAGAGAAAAATAACAAGGAAATATATGGTAACAAATTTATATCGTATCATGTCATTAATGTCGATTAATTAATATATAATATAATATAAACAGATGGTTATAATTGAAATAATACCAAAGTTAAGATTTAGTTAATGAATTAATCGTTAATAATCGATGATAATTATTTTTGATCTAAGACGATGTTCGGATTCAAAAGTAATGAAGTAACGATGAAATCGAAATATAACAATTGCATATCGTTAAACGCGACAATTTATTTTTTATATAGATATCCTTACTACGTTAGATATCCTTCTTAACATTTATAAAGATTTAAAGTTGCAATCTACGTAAATACATTAGAAATTTGTTTGAATATTTCAACAAACTATCAATATAATATTTTTTTAATATCATTCTTAAAATTTATAAAGATCTGACAATAGTTATGAATAAAAAAGAAAAGGATAAATAAAGGAAGAAGAAAAAGAAGAAGAAGTAGAAGTAGAAGAAGAAGAAGAAGAAGAAGAAGAAGAAAAAGGAAAGGAATATATAAAGAAAAATAATATCAAAAGTTTAAGATTCCTGTAGAGAGGATTGGCCATTGAATGTTTCGCAGTCACTTTCTATATCTATCTCTGTCACTCTTTCTCGTTTTCGGTACAAAATATCTTTGAGCCGACAGAAAGTCGACCGAATCTCTTATTGCTCGTCCTCGTCGTCCTCATCCTCATCCTCATCCTCGTCGTCGTCGTCGTCGTCGTCGTCGTCGTCGTCGTCGTCGTCGTAAACGCGCCCGCCTGACAAATTATCCCCATACAAAACGTCCGTAGATACATACGAAACGAAGGAAGAAGGAAAGCAAACGAGTAAGAAAGAAAGAAAGAAAGAAAGAAAGAAAGAAAGAAAGAAAGAAAGAAAGAAAGAAAGAAAGAAAGAAAGATAGTGCGAGACTCGGAGCCAGCTGTTAAATTATTTCCCGGCATATACGCGGGCGTCTTCATCCGGTACACCGGAGGATCTCATAAAACGTTCGACGACGTAGAGTTCGAGGAGGAGGCGGCGTGCGTGTAATCCGAATTCGATGCGCCGTCCGCACCGAGAGCAAACAAACGAGCCACTTCTCTCTCTCTCTCTCTCTCTCTCTCTCTTCCTCTCTTTCTCTCTTTCCCTCTATCTCTCTCTCTGGTGTACGCACACGCGAAACTAGCAAGCACCATCCTCTTTCGTACTTATATAGAAGCCACTGAGTAAGATATTGCCGGCTGCCGGACGTGTTTATGAATATTGGCACGTTGGCGAAACTCTCTCTCTCTCTCTCTTCCTCTTTTTCTTGGCTCATAGCATTCAAAATAAGAGAGAGAGAGAGAGAGAGAGAGAGGGAGAAGGAGAGAAAGGGAGAGGGAGAAAAGCATGTACAAAGACTTGTTCAGGGCTGTAACATAAGTCGTTGTAACGGAGAGAGAAAAGAAAGAGAGAGAGAGAGAGAGAGAGAGAGAGAGAGAGAAAGAGTGTCGAGAAGACTTCGAGCCAAGCCTTCGAGCCGAACATTGCTCGAGATATGTATATCCTTCTCGAAGAAGGAGGATGCGTCGTGCTGCGTCCTTTACTGCCGAAGACGCGCCTCGACGCCCGGGAGCTCTGTTCCTTCTTCTCTATTTTTATATTTTGAAATAAAAATAATAAGGAAAGAGAGAGAGAGAGAGAGAGAGAGAGCCGATCGAAAGAAATTTGACATTTCGCTCCCCTTATTTTACGTTTTACTACTTGCCCAACTTCTTCCATGTTCTTCCATGTATCGCCCGTAATCGTCTCTTTTCACTTTTACTCCTACATAATATCGTATTACGTTACACACACACACACACACACATGTATACATATTTGTTTATATTTATATAATATTAATTATTATTATTATACACATATATATATATTTTTTTTTTTATTTCATACAAACACATACATACACACACATACACATATATATGTTTTTTTATTTATTTTTGAGAGAGAGAGAGAGAGAGAGAGAGAGAGAGTCGTCTTTTTGTTTATCTATCTATCTGTCTGTCTGTCTCTCTTTCTCTTTTTCTAAAACTACATTCATTCGCGTTCTCCTCTGTTCTCGAGTTTCTTAATCTCTTCTTTTCTTTTCTCTCTCTCTCTCTCTTCCTCTCTCTCTCTCTCTCTCTCTCTCTCTCTCTCTCGTTCTCTGCTCTTCCTTCTTTTCTTTTCTCCCTCTTCGTGTTTGCTCTCTTTTCGACACCCCGTTTTCAGTGTTCCCCGTCTGCGCGTGGTAGCGAAACCGTAGTGGCTATCAATTTCAATTCGGCGCTCGTGCAGGACCGCTTTGTAATCTTCCTTCTCATGGCGATGTAACCACCTCAGGTCGAAAAAACGACGCGAGCGGTTCCTCTTTTCCTTCTTCTCCTTTTTCTTCTTCTTTTTCTTCTTCTTCTTCTTCTTCTTCTTCTTCTTCTTCTTCTTCTTCTTCTTCTTCTTCAGAGAGAAATGAAAAAGAGAAAGAAAAATAAAGAACGAAAGAAAGAGAACACTAACATTTGATTTAATATCGAAACGATACCGATCCCAATCTATCTTTTCCTTCTCTATCTCTTTCTCTTATTCTTCTTATCGTTATATCGATGATCCTAAAAAAAATTAACAAGATAATAATTAATAATAGAAGTAATGCGCAAGAGTTGTGTTCTCTTAAAAAAAAAAAAATACAAATAAAAAAGAAGATTAAGCTATAATGTCAATGATTAAAAATATGAATGATCTTTGATTACGAACGAAAACTTTCATACACGGTTTATATGAAATTTTGAACAAACGAGAAAGAAAGAGAGACAGAGACAGAGAGAGAGAGACAGAGAGAGAGAGAGAGAGAGAGAGAGAGAAGGAAGAAGAGTGCGTGTAGGTATCAAGAAGCAAAGAGAATGGTGACGCCAACTCGAAGAAGGTTTTCGAGTGGGAAGAGGGGCACTTATATAAAGCGGTACGATGATATATAAGGGATTTGTCTCCGTGGCACCGTCATACGTCATGTCGCAAATATTAACTCTGATACAGGCCATTCATTCACTTAATTACAAACAGCCGTGATTTAAGGGAAGCCGTACGGCAGGGGGTCCGAGCACCGAGCATGCTTCGGTAGGTGTCCGAGGTGTGTAGCCGATACTGTGAAGCTTTCTTTACGATCCCTCATTTACACAACAGGACCCTGGGCCACTTCGCCGAACTGATTTTTTACCTTTCTCTTCTTTTTCCATCTCTCTCTCTCTCTCTTTCTCTCTCTCTCACTCTATATATATATATATATATATATATATATATATATATATATATATCCTCTTTTACTTCCTACCATTTGTGGAATTTGCTTTTTTCAATTCGCCTCTTTTGATCTACGACCTATGTTCATCGTTCAAATTGATTTCCAACCCGAATTGACTCGTCTCCCCCATTATTTCTCTTTCTAAATATCCGTGGGTCTCGTTATTGGTATCAAGATAAATATCATCTTGAAATTAATTTTTTCACTCTTAAATTGAATACTTTTTCCTCTTCTTTTGCTTTTTCTTCTATTCTTTGCTTCCTTTATTTCTTTTCTTTTCTTTTCTTTTGTTTTTTTTTTTGCGTTCGTATCTCCCAAAACTACGTGTCTTAAGTACGTTGTTTAATTACATTAAAAAAATATTTCATTGTCAATATGACTTAATTGTCTCTTCGAATTATAATTACGTCATACTGATTATAAAATTTACAATGATCGTTAATCGTTAATTCAAAATATTCAGTCGAGAAAAAGAAATTTGAAAAAAGAAAACAATACGTATTAAATCGTACCTATCGAATTTTTCTTTTTTTTTTTTTACGATTTAACCCTTTTTTAATTTATCGAATTTAATACAAATAAGGTAAGAAAAAGGAACAGAAAAAAGAAAATACAAAAAAAAAAAAAGAAGAAAAGAGAAAAAAGAAGAAAGAGAGTAAAAGAGAAGAAACAAGGTAGGGCTATCTCCTCTCGTTGTTCTTAAAAGAGGACAAAAAAAGAGAAAAAGTTAGAAACGGATCGACGAGGCAGTCCGTCACGTAAACTCATTTTCCCTTCCCTTCTCTTACGTTAAAGCGGGATTTACGCAAATTCTCAAGCGATAAATTCATTTCGACGCGATACGCAATCTCGAAGATCGAATCAGCTTGGGTTACGAAAGTAGAAGGGTCCAGAAAAGAATAGTACAGTTTCACGAGTTCGTGTCCTCTCTCCTAAACGATACTACACGAAGTCCACGCTACTCACAGACATTTATACGTGCTACGCATGTAACACGTACATTACACATATACACGTATCCATGTGTATATGTAAGAGAAAGATATAGTGATGTACACAAAGACAATCAGACAGAGAGAGAGAGAGAGAGAGAGAGAATGATGAGAGGAAACAAGACAGAAAGACGAAAGGAATGTCTATATGAACGTAGAAAACGGAGAGTAAGAGCGGTGACGCGTGATTTTGCACATCGGCCAAAGGAAAGATTACCATCGTCTTGCTTTTTCCTAAAACTATGTTTCTCTCTCTCTCTCTCTCTCTCTCTCTCTCTCTCTCTTTATCTCTCTCTCTCTCTCTCTCTCTCTCCCGTCGTACACGCATCAACGCACAAACTCTCAGATTCCGTGGTCGTATCCCTCGAAACCTCTTTGATATTAAGCTTAGGTACCTCCTACCTACGTTTCCCGTATCCATGAGGGTTGCGCAAAATCGTTTAGACTTTGTAGATATTCTATGATGATTCTCGTGAGATTCCTCGTGAGATCACGCACGAGGAAGAAAAACAATATTGTCCGTGAAAGAAGAAGAAAATTTTCTGAAAGATTTTACGTTCGTTCGTTTCTCTTTTCTTTTGTTCTTTGTTTTTTTTTTTTTTTTTTTTTTTTTTTTGTATATGCTTCATCGAGAATTGTAAATTCTATCATGCAATATTCTTTTCTATACGATTTCTTTGAATTGAACAATTTACTTTTTATCTGCACCAAATATCTTCTCTCCTCTCATTTCCTCTCCTCTCCTCTGCTCTTCTCTCATATCTTCTTCTCACCGCCCTTTAAGGTTTTTCTTTGTTCGACATAAAAATTTAAAGAAAGAGAGAGAGAGAGAGAGAAAAGGGACGGGGAGGGGGAGGGGGGTAGGAGGTGGGAGGGAGAGTAAGAATTCGAAAGTAAAGAAAAATAAGGAAAAACGAAAAAAAAAAAAAAAAAAGAAAAAAAGAAAAAAAGAGGAAGAAAATTGGCGCTAGAGGATGAACTATTCGACACATATTCTTGAGTTTTCGTTGAATTATTAAAGATACTACTGCATGTCTTCTTGTCGTACATCGTTCTTCTCTAGATTGGCGTACCCAGGTGACACTTCCCGTCGTTCTTTCTTTTTTTTTTTTTTTTTATTCGTCAGCCTAACTGAGAAGAAAGAACATAGGGAGTCTCGAGGTTGTAAAAGCGAATTAGACGAGCTATCTCTCTCTCTCTCTCTCTCTCTCTCTCTCTTTCACTCTTTTTTTCTCATGTTCATACAGAAAGATGTCTCCCGTCGTGTTTCAACCCTCCATCTACTCTCTCTCTTTCTCTCTTTCTTTCGTTCTCTCTCTCTATCTCTCTATCTCTCTCTCTCTCTCTCTCTCTCTCTCTCTCTCTCTCTTTCTTTCTGTTCTCTTCGCGTAAAAAAAAAGGGATTCACAGCTCGTGCGAGACAAGAAATTTGTAGATGGTAGACGGAGACGAGATTTTCCGGTACGATACTATCTAGGGTGTGAACGCTGCATTTGCAGAACGTTTCTTCCTCTTAAATGAATACAAAAAGGAATAAGGAAGAAGGAAATAAGATAATAATAAAAAGTATATCTACTATTAAAATCTTCATGTGTCCTTAGTTGATAAATTTTTTTTCAATCCCGTTTTTAAACCGGATATTTTTTACAATGGAATTACGAATTTCGATAGATCAAAATGTACGCCAAGGAAAATGAGCTGATATTCTACGAGATAAGATCATAGTGAGAGAAAGAGAGTGAGAGAGATCGAGAGAAAGAGAGAGAGAGAGAGAGAGAGAAGTGAAGATACTCTGGTATGCATGAAAGGGCTCTTGTCTTTAGGTCCCTTTCACAGAATCCGCACTTACCGAACCTCGTATGTAGATTCGGGCACACCCTCCTCTCACCCCTCACCCTTATATCCTTAACTGCCGAACTTACGCTCTAGAATATCCAACCCGCAAACAACCGTCTCTCTCTCTCTTTCTCTCTCTCCCTCTCTCTCTCTCTCTCTCTCTCTGTCTCTCTATCGTCTTCCTCTACATCTATTTAGGTAGGAAAAGCTTCTTCAGCTGTCTTCCTTCTCTCCACCCTACGAAAATTAGTTCAGACTCCTCTAAAGGAGGTAATATAACGCTAGCATCGTAAAGCGAGCATCGTATTTGATAAAAATTCGCGAGAAAGAGAGAGAGAGATAGATAGATAGATAGATAGATAGATAGATAGATAGATAGATAGAGTGAGAGAAAGAGAGATGAATAGTTTACTTATGGTCTATAAAAATATTTCGACAATAAATATAAAATAATTGTATAATTATTAATTTATTTAGAGAATAAAATTTATGAAGTAAGGTTTAATAAAAAAAAAAAAAGAAGAAGAAGAAGAAAAAAAACTCGATAAAGTAAAATATCTAAATCTTTTCTTTTTTTTCTTTTTTTTTTTTCTTGTTTTGTTACATATAAATAATGAACGAATAAACGAACGCTCGTTGATAATATATGTACATAGGTAAAATAAAATGATTAGTATAAAAATAATGAAGTGTAAGATATAGATAGATATGAGCTTGTAATAATCTAAACGTTATTATTACGATATTGGAGATAACATTCAGCAGTACTATGTAAATAAAATAATTAGCATTAAAATAATCAAATAAATATAGATGGATATAAATTAAGTAATAATAACCTGACGTTATAATAATTGGATCGATCGTAGTCGTATTCCAACTCTCAACGCGTAGTTTCCAATTGTTAAGAACGCTTCGTTACGTCTCGTTATCGTGGCTGAAATTATTAATAAAACGATCGTTACGGTCGATTTAGAAATGGGGGTGGTGGTGATGGGGCGAGGGAGGGGAGGAGAACACAGCTATAATCCTCCATTCGACATTAACGATAAATGTTCCTCGATAGAGAGTAAATATCAGAGCGAGAAAGTTATCCTAAGAGAAAGTATAACGAATGTTTAGGTTTAAAAAGAAAAGAAAAAAAATATATATACATATATATAAATGACGTCAATTATACGATATGCAGATATACAACATCGAGCTGCTTAAGTTACAACGATGTCTTTTCTTAAAAAAAAAAAAAAAAAAAAAAAAAAAAAGAAGAAGGAAAAAAAAGAATCAATACTAACTTATAGATATATAAAAAAGAAATGAAAGATAAAAAGGAAAAAAAAAATATGACACTATACAAGTCCAAATAATCAAACAGACGTATAAATAAATAAACAAATAAATAATGAGAAAATTGGCGAATACTTACCTACAGTGAGATCATAAAAATTCGATTGCATATGGTCTCATATATTATTTTATTTATTGT